GGGCATGGTAGCGCATCAAGGATGTATGAATTAAAACGCACCATCAACTTTCTTCAGTAGGAAAAGGAGTCTATGGTCTCGTCACGTACACCAAACTCAGAGGCCATTGGGATGAGATGACCTCCCTTGCACCTTCACTCGAGTGTACCTGTGAAGGGTGTACCTGCAATGTGAAGCAGCATCATCGTGCAGCTAAGAAAGGAGAAAGGTTATTCGATTTTTTGATGGGTTTAGACGACGCGTTCAACACAATGAAATATCAGATCCTAACCATGAAACCTATACCCAGCCTAGCGGAGGCATGTCATCTTGTTACTAATGACGAACATCAACGTCATCTCTCCAACAATAGGCGCCCTCGTGTAGACGCGGTTGTTTCCCAAGCCCTAGGGGAGCACAAGGTTGAACGACCGGCGCGGCAGGGCGAATGTGATATGCGGTAGGGAAAACGAGATGTAGAGGGCAGGCCATATATGCACCTACTTCCAGCGCTCAGGTCATTTTCGCGACATTTGCTACAAGCTGAATGGTTACCCTCCGCGTAATTCAGGGTGAGCAACATAAGCGGAGACGTGATCGTGACAGGCGTCCGCCACCTCAAGCCATGGCCGTTGACACCAATTCCAACCCGATTCCTGGGTTGAAAGCAACCCAATTTCATCAGCTGAAGCAGCTTTTCGGTTCTGATCACACGCTAGTCGAACACCTCAAACCCAATCTCAAACATGGCAGGTACGCAATTCGTCAAAAATACTTCCTGGGTTAAAGATTCTGGATGCAATGTACATATGGTAAAGTCAAAATATATTTTCATAGCCATAAGTTTACGCGTTGTGACAATAATAGCTAAATATTGAAAAATGCACAAATATAGCCACTTTTTGAAACTTGCTTGACAATTATAGCCATTTCCTTAACAAACTTTAACACCGTCAACAACTGCGTCAGTTAAGTGGATGTTAAATGATGTGGATGCCACATAGGCGACACATAATGTCCAACTAGACTCGTCATGCCACGTGGCATCCACGTCGTATTTAAAAAATAAAAATAAACTCCAAAAATTAATTTTATAGAAATAATGTTTTAATTTTCTTTATCTATCCTTTTTCCCCAGATCTGATGCACAATTGCCAGATCCATAACGTCGTCATCGTTAGCTTCATCTGCTGGCTGGTGGGACTAGTGCGACGCAGAGGGGCAGATTGATGGTGGCCGACAGTGGGAGACGATGGCGAGCAGCGCATGAGGGAAGATCGATTCGGCGAAGTTGACTAGTTGGAGACCATCCCGCCGAATCCGACAACGCACACTGCCTCAACCAGCCTGTACGTGGGCACCGAGCCGTGCCGCCTAAGGGCTAGCAAAGCACGACACGGTTAGAGCATGGCATGAGCACGGGCACGAAATAAATAGGCCAGCCCGTCACGAGCACGAATAATTTTTGGGCCGTGTCGGGCCTAAACTTCATGGGCACGGGCACGAGCACGTCACAGTATATAAGTGGTTCATGTCGGGCCTAATATTTTCGAGACTTTATTGAGTATAAGAACGGACATGACACGAAAATAATATTTATTTGATAGAAAATAAATATAAAAAAAATTATAGGTTCACATATTACAAAACACAAGTAGAAAAATAATTATTTGTTGTTGTTAGACGTCTCATAAAGATATATACGTAATTACTAACATAAGTAAAAATGGACAAACAATTAAACAAAGCCAAATCACACTCGCTATTCTTTCAATTTTCTTTTCCCCCTTGTCTGTTACTTTTCTACAACATTATCGGTTAATACTATCTTCCCCTGTCCAATTTTCACCTTCTTTTTATTCTCTCTTTTGTTTTCGTCCTTTTCATTAAACACGAATACGAGCATGGCACGAGCACAAATAAGCACGACACGATTTGGACCGTGCTCGGGCCTGGGCCGGGCCTAGCAAAGTTAACAAATTTGCTTGCATGGCATGACACAAAACTGACGGGCCGTGCCAAGCACGACACGAAATAAATGGCCTGAAGCGTGCACGTGCCGTGCCGGCCCAGCGCCCATGTACACACCAGCCCCACCGCGATTCCGGCTTTCTTCTTGTCGCTCATCCCTAATGAATCCCTGATCTTGTTTTCCTCGTCGCAAAAAATGTAGGGGCAAGATTCGAAGGGATCTGACGAGGATTTGGGGCTTGGTGTATGAACTGGGGAGAGAGTTTTTGGTGGGTGTTGTGGCCGCGGGAGAGGTTATGATGAAGGGAACCAAGCATCTAAGCGATCTTTGTGCAACGGGGAAGGTTATGGAGGCGTTTCCCAGATTTGCCGGCGTAGACTAGACGACGATTGCGATTCTTGGCCTACCTATTCTTCATTTTTCCACCGAAAGAGAAGTGTAAAGGATGGTATGAGGAAGTAGGAATTCGCTCTTGATGAAAGCAAGTAAAACTAGGGATTAGATTTTTGTTATTCATGGGGAGAAAGAGAGATTGAAATTAGGGATTAGATTTTGGTTATTTGTTCAGATGAGTGAACAGGGGAGCAAAGAGAGGGGAAAGCAACGAGATTAGTCTTTTTTGTTGATTTTTTTTCCTGAAAATATTGTATTGTTTTTTAGTTAATTATGTGTGAAAATTCAATTTTTAAGTTGATGTGGCAAAAAAAATTATAAATTAAGTGACACGTCATCAGTTAACGTGATAACTGTTAGTCTAGTCAGCATCCGCATTTGGTCCGTTAAAATTTTGGACGGAATGGCTATTCCAGTGTTTTTCAAAATTTAGCTATTATTCTCACAACGCGAAAAGTTATAGCTATGAAAGTGTATTTTGCCTATAGTAAATGATAAATGTTTGTTGGAAAATGAGTTGGAGTCTACTCCAGCTTTACATGTTCGTATTTCTAATGGGACAGGAGTTCCTGTTCACTGCATTGGCTTCGTTCGGTTATCAAATAGTTTATTGCTTCGAAGGGTTTTATATGTTCCAGATTTCCCGTGTAATCTTCTCTCGATCAGTTGTCTCACAGTTGACCTTTCTGTGGCTTTAATTTTCATGCATGACTTCTGTGTTGTTCAGGACTTACCATCCAAGAGGCCGATTGGGATGGGTAAGTACACAGATGGACTGTACTATCTGAAGTTATTTGACGAGCAATAGGCAGTGGTGCATTCAGCTAGCAAGGCAGCAAACAATTCTTTCCCTTGGCATTCGCGTTTGGGTCATCCATTCGCGGGTAAATTATCTATTTTGTAGCAATTTATTTTTGGTCCTCTTGTCAAAACTGAGGAACCTTGTCATTCATGTATTCAGGCAAAAGAATCTAGAGATCCTTTTCAGTCGAGTTCTATTTCCACCCAAACATGTTTTGAGTTTATACATTTGGATATTTGGGGTGGATACCAGGTCCCTTCTTTTATAGGAGCTTGCTATTTTGTGACAATTGTTGATGATTATAGTCGAGCAGTCTGGGTTTATTTGTTGAAATTCAAATATGAGTTTGCTTGTTACATTCTTCATTTCTGTCATATGGTGAAGACTCAATTTGGTAAACAGGTTCACCGTATTCAGGCAGATAACGACCTGGAGTTTGCTACTTCTACGTTACAGGATTTTTACAGTGAGGCTTGTATTATCTTGCAAACTCCATGTTCAGATACCCCGCACCAGAATGGAGTGGTGGAACACAAGCATCAACATCTCCTTGAGACAACGAGAGCCATTCAATTTCATGCCAATCTACCTGTTGAATTATGGGGTGAGTGTGTCATGACAGCAACATACCTCCTGAATCGCATGCCACTCGTCGACATCAAGAATAGATCCCCGTTTCAGGTGATGTTTGGCAAGGATCATTCTTATCAGCATCTTCGTATTTTTGGATGTCTCATGTATGCTCGAGATAATCATCGTGGGTTCGACAAATTTGGGGATTGTGGTCGAGCCAGGATTTTTGTTGGGTATCTGAGTGCTCAACGGGGATATCTCATCTATGACTTGGAGTCCAGGACCATTTACATGTCTTGTGGACATTGATAGAGATTATGCTTCTCTTATTGATTCACCTGCATGACTCGATATTTGCACATGTTTTTCCCTCTACTTCTTGATCGTTTAAGCTTGAATTATCTCTTATTTGGACTATCTTACGCTAGGTTGTGTTCCTTTGTCACATTTCAGGTCCTAGCATGTAAAGTGAAGCATAGGCGCAAGTTTCAATTCAATAAGAGATCAATTGGCAATTCGGGAGAAGAAACTCGGGCATGAACTGAAGAAGTATGGATTTCTGCCTCATTTATGGAAAAAGAATCATGCAAGCTTGTCATGAAAATAAAGAGGACGAGACTATGAGCGTCTGGGATCAAACAGCGACTGATTTGGAGTCCGGGCGAAGGAGAAACGAAGCATTGAATATAGGGAAACAGGTTCTGCAGTAAAAACACGGGCAGACTACCCTAAAAACACGGCCGTGTTTTATCTGGCCCCCGCTAGTGGTTTTACTGCCGAGGGCGTGTAGTGAGGGTTGCTGGGGGCAAAACACGGGCGGGCAAAAGTAAAACACGGCCGTGTCCTCGATTGTATTTTGCCAAGAATCGGGTTTTTGAGGCAGATTCAAGCCAAAGGAAAGGGGAGAGCTGGGTTTTGGTTCCCAAACACCCAAGGGACAAACCCTAGAGAGAGAGAGCAACTTGGGAACATTCTTGGAGCTATTTTGGAGGATTTCTTTTCCATTGGAGTTTGGGAATCAAGCTTGGAGATGGAGATTGAAGATCTAGATTAGATTTCTGCATTCTCTCTCTCCTCTGTGAGTAACTTCCCTTCACTTAGGTTTTGAGGAACCCTAGTTCCATGTGTTAGGATCTTTCTAGTATGAAGTTTTGGATGTTATATTGTTTGATTATAATCGATTGAGGCATGACTTATTGAGTCAATTGAATCTTGATCTAATTCTCTTGATTTCTGCTTTAACCTATGATATATAGAATCTGATTAGGTTAAGAGAGCTTCCTTGATTGATAGTGGTGAATTGGTTGTGCGAGAGTCAATCAATTCACTGCTTTGTACTGGAATTCATTCCAGTAGTGGAGATCTCTGTGAATCGCCTTAGCAGTCTATCCCGGTGAAGGCTAGTCGCCTGCCGGGTATTCCTGTCTAAGAGGGCTTGGCCAGCTTACCAAGCTAATTTAGGATCTTCCGCAGTTTAATCAACAGTAGATCAACCAAAGGTAATTGCAACTTGGACCTAATTGAGGAGCTAGGGGGAATCATACCTAAGTGAGTTCCCAGCTTGTAATTAGTAGAGTAATTTAGTAAATCAATCCTTAATCTAGTTTGCTAGACAATCCTTAATCTAGTTTGCTAGATAATGAACTGAAGCTGAATAATAGTAACTCTAGAGACCCGTGGATTCGATATTTATTACTTGTGCCACTATACCGCAGTCCCTTTCATTGGTTACACTTGGCCATTGTTAGGTGTTGTGTTTTAGCGTGTCAAGTTTTTGGCGCCGTTGCCGGGGACTTTGTAGATTATTTGGAAAGACAGAAGTTTGTTACTTTAGCGTTTTTTTTTCACCCTTGATTTTCACTTGGGTGTTTTTGTTTTTGTTGGTGCAGATCTGAATCATGGATCCTAAGGGCTTATCCAACCAGTGGGGGTATCCACCACCATCTGACTGGTATTACCCCGAGACTTCATGGAGCAATCAAGGAGGAGAAGACTATGGATTCGGGTTCCAGTACCAACCCCCTTACTACGGAGAACAATCAGACCCCTGGGCATATCAAGAACAACATCCTTATCAAGAAGAATTCCTCCCACAACCAGAAGGGCCAGTCACAGCCCTCACGGGCCATCCGACAGAGCCATGCTACACACCAGAGCCAGATCCAAACTATCACTTGAGGCTTCTCATGGAGCAGATTGCTCGAGTACCTGAGAGATCCTTTCCCGAGATGGATCCTCATATCCAGGCCATTGCCCAAACTGACTTCTCCTTTCCCCGTGAAATAGAGGAGGATGAAGAAGAAGGCAATCATGAGGATGTTGAGGAGCATACATAAGTTGTCACAGAAAGCTCCCATGATAATCATGATCAAGTGTATCATCTGGTGGTAGATCACAACTTTCCCCATTTCCGTTCTGACATGCTGGGCCCAAGCGAGGAGATGCAAGCTGAACTTATTGAGAACCTTGCATGGCGACTTGCTCTCCAATCAGTTATGGAAGAAGAAGAGATAGAAAGGGTGAGGAAAGAAGTTGTGGAGGTAGATCACTTTTTTCATAATAGGTCCAAATGCTGTCATATTATATATATTGTGACGAAATATGTTGTCACACCGTTCGTCAAAACTACCTCGTAGAAACAAGTCTATTATGACAAGAAAATTTAAATTGTCATAACTTCGTTGTCGATGAGTTGACAGACAATTTAGTGTCAAAACACGACCTATATTATGACAACTTTATTTGTTGCAATAAGTAAAGATTTTGTCATAAGAAGGTCTAATTTTGTCAAGATAAATACTAATCTGTCCCATGTTATTTTGACAAATTAGTTATTGTGATAAAAATGTTTGTCATAAGTAGGTCTATTTTCGTCACGATAAATACAAAACTGTCTGATGTTATTTCGACAAATTAGTTATTGTTATAAACTACTTTGTCATAATTAGTTCTACCTTTGTCAAGATGAATGCTAAACTGTTCCATGTTATTTTGACAAATTTGTTATTGTGATAAATGATTTGTCATAATAGGTCATCATAATAGCTTGCTTGTCATTACTACCTTTGTCACAATTGACATTTGTTCTTCAGCGTAGCTACGTATTTTGACAAATATTTTTGTCATGATACCTGTACACGGTGACAATTTATAATGCGCCCTATGAGGATATAAATATCAACACAATTTAGTCATTAGTCATTGTCATAAACAACCTTAATAACAAACATTCTGAAACTACATAATCTTAAATTCAGAACATAAGTCACTCCAGTGCTGCAAACAACTGAAAGTCTTAATGCCATGCATTCTACAGTCTTAACTTATATGTTCAGCTTCAAAGGAAGGTCTGAAACAAAATAAATCCAAGTCTAAACATCATACTATCCAAGCCGACATCGTCCTTGAGCATCCAAAATATGGTGAAAATGGGCCGCAACAAGTCAATCGTACTGCCGGAAAGCTACCTGCGTAAAAGAGATAAATCAATATATAACCATGCAATTCAAACACAAGTTCATGAGCAATAACACCAACCATGAAACCATAAGGTAAATTCCAAAAAGAACAAAACTGAACTAGAGGAAAAAGCTTCAAATCCTGAAATCAAATGAAACGAACCTGTGAAATGCAACCTAATTGGAGAACCTAAGGGAAAATGTTATTACCTCGAACTAAACAGATCCTCCCATCAATTTTTTCACCTCTGACTCCACATATGCCTTCAGATTATCCTGTCACTTGCACAAATCCTCGATAATATGCTTCTGCCTTGCTATCTCCTGTTGTTGCTTTTCTATTTGTTCATGCTGGTTTTCTATCTGCTGTTGCTAGGCGTTAATTTGATCTTCAAAGTCTTGCCTCTGCCTCTCTCCATCAGCCAAAGACTTTTCCAAACGTGCTTCTAGCTCTTTCTCCCTGTTGGAACTAGGTTTCTGTTTTGTGGCATAACTTGGTGCTTTTTGAAGCACCATGCCAACAATTTCAGAACCAGATAATGGTTTCCCTTGTTCTACTGCTTCGACATGAAGTCTTTTCATTTCCTCCTGCATAACACATTATGTTATCAACATTTGAGACAAGGTTACTAAATTGGCAGCAACAATAACACACTACATGCATGAATTACCACTATATTTAGCCAACTTTCCTCCAATATAATGAATCAAAGTAGAGGAAAATTAACATCAACACGTGTTATGTTCTTACCATCCTAAGGGTACAAATGCAAGACATGAAAGAAAGGTAGCTAGTAATGAACTTACATAGTTTTGTTGAGGTTCTAGGTTCACCCAACTTCCATCACTTCTCTTATGGGTGTCAGCATACACTTTGATCTCTTTGGGCTCCACCTCCAGTTCATCACCTTGCGCATCATTGTTCTCCTCATCAGCCTGCTGGTCGGATGGTTGCTCGGTAGGCACCTACTCACGTGTCAAAATACAACCATTTAATAGTGTGTACTTGCATGATGCTAGCTCTAATAAAATTAATATCACCATGCAATACTTTACCATTTCATACATCCGCTGGCTACAAGATTTACCACCTGTAGTATGAGCATATGTTTGCATACTCTTGTTGCGCTTATTAGCTACACTTTGCCTCTGTAACAAAAAAGTTTACAATCAAGTAGGGAATTCCTCTATTAGCTTCAATGTAATGCAAATCTGTACTTAAACTTTGGCTGGAATTGAGTAGAAGGGATCAAAGAATTTATAGAGGGTGTGACCTTAAACCGTTCACTTTCAAAATGATCACACAATAGTAGCCAATCATCCATTTTCACATGTTCAGGAGGGCTCTGTCGTGCGCTGGCAACACCACCTTTTTCCTCATAATGTCGATGGCAAAGGTGTTTAAAGTTGATGAATCGTCGAGACATTGAGAAATCCACAGCCATCCTCGTATCTTCATCATCAATAGCAATCTGAAACTCACTCTACAATCATGAAAAACATATTAGTAGAAGCAAACCAAAAGAGCAGTACATTCAATCAAAGAACAAAAACCATCAAAACAGACTTCAAAAGAAAACAACTGGCCAAAATAATCTACCCTCAAGCATAAAACCAGCAGAAAACACTTAAAAGGAAGAACACTGGTAAAATTGTGTAATCCATAGTCATTTTCATAATAATCTTACCTCCAATTTTGCGAAAAGGGGCTGCTTGAGCTCTTTAGTCATATCTGACCAGTCGAACTTGCCAATAGGAGCCAACAGACGTACAATGACCCCTATCTCCATCTTAAATATCTTCTCATTACGACCAACAATCCTTTCACTCCTTGTGCAACTTCAATTCCATCAATCTTACTGCCATCTCTTATTCTTTTTGTAACCTCGAGCCCTTTTGCTTTCCCACGTCCTTTCTTCCTTGGTCTCTCTAAATATATTTCTCTAAATTAGTTCATACGGATATTACTAAAAAGCTCAATAAAAGGATCAGATTGCTTACCTGACGAATTGGGATCTGAAGTTGCAGATCCCACATTGCTTGTGTTCTCAACAGGTGTCTCATTTACCCCTGAGTTCGCAGATGGGCTATCAGAAGTTTGATCAATCACACTGGTTTCAGTTGCGGTGTTGAGTTGTGAACTCCTTGTCATTCTTTGTGTAGGTGCTGGGCGCACTGCATTCCACTTTCTTTTTTGTCCACGACCTAGACCTGGTGCCATACCTACAAAATAGAGACTTTTTTGAAAGCTCACAAATACATGGTAGATAAATTCCAACCTGTATGAAAGAAACAAAACAGCAACACATGAATTCCTAATATTCAATTTATGATAAGTAAACTTAGATTGACTATAGTCTGCAACTTCTGAAAGGCACTAAAGTGACCTAAAATGCATACATATACACTTCACAATAATGAAAAGAGAACAAGACAAGACTTAGATAAGAACTCTACAGATCTCCAACGCCATGGGAAAGTCTTATAACAAAATAAACTTGGAATTATGTGTATTCTTGTAAGGCCAAAAAGAAACAAAAATCGAATGTCAATATTAGGAATATGCTAACAAACCACAATAGACCGAAGTAATAATAAAAAAAATAGTTAGTTGTCATCCTCTTCTTCACTCTCAACAGTATTGTTTTCATTTTCTTCAGAAGGACCACTAAGATCATCTAACAGGTTATCCTCTTCCTCCTCCGAAGATTCTTCGCTCCCTACCATGTCTTCCATCGATTCAATAACCTCTTTGCTGGAAATTAAGTCATTCATTAGTTGTATGTCCTCCTTGCTTAGAGTAATTGGAGGCTCATCATCACGACTCAACCATTGTATGTCTTCTTCATCAATGTCAATGAAACTCAGGTCAGCGCTTTCATCCTGTTGGTATGGCTCAGTACCATAAATGGGGTCCACATCTTCCCTATCCTCCCTCTCCAGAACATCATATATATGCCTAGGAGATACTTTATGAACTATCCGCCAAGTTCCTCCATTTTTTATATCATCTATATAAAATACTTGGCTAGCTTGACTAGCTAATATATATGGCTCATGTGAATACCACTTTCAACCTATATTAACACTAGTTAGAAAACCATATGCTCTTATCCCATTCCTCTTATCTCCTACGTCCCACCATTCACATTTAAATACAAAAATATGACATCCATAGCAGTATTGTAGCTTCAATATGTCTGTAACGACACCATAAAAGTCAATACTCTCTCCATTGTGTTCACCTTCCACAACTACACCACTGTTCTGGGTACGATGAGTCTGGTCTCTTTATTAGTTTGGTAGCGAACACCATTAATAATCATACCACTATATCTAGTAATTCTCTTAGCAGCACCCAACCCTAAGATGTATAAATGGTTCTTTTTGTCAAGTGATCCAGACAAAAATATTTTTGTTACCTAAAAAATAAACAAAAAAACAGCAAGCAAGTTAGATGTTTTTCATCAAATTATAAAATCCTTTTAATAGTCAAATTGAGTGCATCTACTCTAAATGAATAGCAAGCTTATTCTTACATATGATTTCAACCAAGTTGAAAAGTTGGACTGCAGGCTTTCATAAGAACTGTTAGGATTTTGGTGCATCATCTCCTCAGAATAGATGCTGTATAGATCATGTGTGTCAGAAGTTATTAGCTATTAACACGAAAAGAATAAGTTTAACAAACAAATAGACACTTACTTGAAGTACTCTTCGACCTCTTCGCAATTATCTAGTATGTATGTTTGTAGCTTATTGAATTCAGTAGGTGATAATGTGTCATCTTTAGCTCCTACTAATGGTCTAGTCTTATTGGTAAAAATAGAAAACCCATCAGACTCAACTACATGACTCCCTTCGTCATTTCTGCCGACACGATTTGCCCTTGTTTCGACCACTTCCAGATATCTAGCGCAAAATTCTAAACATTCTTTTGCTATATATTTTTCAGCAATGGATCCCTCGGGAAACGCTTTGTTGCTAACAAGGTTCTTAAGTGTACCTAAGAACTTTTTACATCCAAAGACAGAAGAATGAAGTTAATTGTGTTAAATCATCTAATTGATTAGAAACCGAAATAAAAAAATGTATTAAGCAAATTGGTACCTTTCCATGGGGTACATCCACTTGTATTGAACCGGACCACCAAACTCTATCTCATAGGGTAGATGAATTTCTAGATGAAACATAACAACAAAGAAAGATGGTGGAT